ACCTGATGTAAAGTGAGGACTCTGGTGGGGACACCTGATGTAAAGTGGGGACTCTGGTGGGGACACCTGATGTAAAGTGAGGACTCTGGTGGGGACACCTGATGTAAAGTGAGGACTCTGGTGGGGACACCTGATGTAAAGTGAGGACTCTGGTGGGGACACCTGATGTAAAGTGAGGACTCTGGTGGGGACACCTGATGTAAAGTGAGGACTCTGGTGGGGACACCTGATGTAAAGTGAGGACTCTGGTGGGGACACCTGATGTAAAGTGAGGACTCTGGTGGGGACACCTGATGTAAAGTGAGGACTCTGGTGGGGACACCTGATGTAAAGTGAGGACTCTGGTGGGGACACCTGATGTAAAGTGAGGACTCTGGTGGGGACACCTGATGTAAAGTGAGGACTCTGGTGGGGACACCTGATGTAAAGTGAGGACTCTGGTGGGGACACCTGATTTGTAGTCCTCTATAGCTGGTGGTATTCTGAATTCCTGTGTAATGTATTGCTGGGATTCTTACTCCTCTGTAGCTGGTGGTATTCTGCACTGCTATATTATGTATTGCTGGGATTTGTAGTCCTCTTCTGCATATAACATTTAACTGTAATTTCATGAGATAATTTACAAGGGCGTGTTTAGGGGGAATTTGGGCGGGGCATGGTTGGGGTTAGGTGGGGCTACTGGTGGCTTATAGCTCAGGGCTTGACATTTTGAGCCCCGCTGTTAATATTTTAGAAAGCTGCAGTGCACCCAGGTTAGGAAACTTGTACAATTATTTTGTGCATCTAGCTGTTAGGTTTGTGGAGAGCAGGGGGTGAGGAAGTTGGGGGGGGGGGGGGGGGGGAGCTACTTGTTGAAAGGGACCTAGGGTCCCAGTCTACTTTTTTCCCTCATGACAATCTACTTGTCCTGGTTAAAAAATAAATCTTAACCAAAATCGTATTTAAATCTGAGGTGCTTTTAGGAATGTGTGGGGCTTTTTAAAACGAAATGGGCTTTATGGCGAATTAAAAGTTTAATGTTTTTAACATTGCGCTGTTAATCTCCTACACACCTTCTTGCCTGTCTCCAGCACTGCACCCAGGAACTAACAGGGAGGGGAGAGACCTTGCAGTGTAATGAGCACCGATTGGGTGCTCGTCCGGAAAGGGGATTGTTGGGCTCTTTTAACCTCCCTGGCGGTATTCCTGAGTGTAGCTCGGGGTAAAATGTCAGTACCAAAAGCGGTAACCCCGAGCTACACTCGGGCTTACCATGCGGCGCTGCATAGGGATTCCCTGCAGAGCTTACCTTGTCCTTCGCTCCCGCAATGTGTCCCCTGCAGCATCCCCGGCCATCTCCTCCGGCTGATGCCGGCATCCGGCTTCTGTGTTCTGGTCCCTGTGACGTCGGGACGTACGGGCGGCGGTGGGAAATTTGAAAATTTAAAAAAAAAAAAATTCTTTTTTTTCAAAACGAATTTTACATACTAAAACATTGCTGTTTCAACCCATTTCACATACATTTTGTCCCGAGTGCTTTGTCCTGTCCCCTGTCTGCATTTTGACTGTTCTTTCTGCCTGGAAACTTAGAAAAGTTCATGGCGTCCAAAAAGCGTCCCTTTAGGTCAAAAGCGGTTTTAGACCGGCTAGAGAACAGCGATAATAAATCGGAACCACTTGCAGAATTGAGTGATAATGATTCGTGGGGAAATTCACATCAGACACTGAAAACGATTTTGCGACTTTGCTCAGTGATGTGCGAACTTGGCGCTATATTTCACATTTCAGTGTTTTTGGTTTGATTATATTATTGAATCTTGGCGAATCACATTGCGTGAAGCTTGCTGCCCAAACGAGCAGGAGCGTCTTTTCGGCGGAAAGCTACACGCCGTGCAATTTTTCACACGACAATCGCAGAAAATGTACCATGTTTTTAGGTGCCATTAAATATAAAGGCACCTGAACTTGCGTTTTGCAATCGCAGGCAGAATCGCAGCGATCCGAACCACCCTGGTGGATGCATCGTCGATCCAATGCTGCATCTGTCCCCTGCCAGCTCTGCAATGAGGATTAAGCAAACACAGCTGATCACTCAGGTCTCCCCTCTGCTTTCAGCAGAGAGCTGTGACTAAGTAATTTTATATCTTGGAATTAGCTGTCCTTTACCTCTGCCAGCACCTGAATACAGAGTGTAAATCTGGGAGACTGACACTGCAGGCTTAGAGCGTCACTGATCTGTTATACCTTTCAGAGAATGCTTTGCTGAGAATGGGTTTGTTCCTAGCTGGATGGCAGAAATGGTGTAGAAAGTAGTAGTTCTTGAAGGGATAACACACGGAGAAATATGGTGTCACTCTAGACTCAAACCTGTCCTTCCAACCCCATGTCCAATCGTTGGCAAACTCATGCAGGATCCACCTCCGCAACATCTCCAAAATACGTTCGTTCCTCACCCCAGACACTACTAAACAACTCATTCACTCCCTTATTATCTCACGTCTGGACTACTGCAACTCCCTTCTCACCGGCCTACCTCATCACAGACTATCCCCGCTTCAGTCTATCCTGAACTCAGCGGCCAGACTCATCCACCTCACCAACCGCTCCTCTTCTGCCACCCCCCTCTGTCATTCCCTCCACTGGCTCCCGATTGCCCAACGCATTAAATTCAAACTACTAACAGACATACAAAGCCATTCATAACGCTGCCCCAAACTACCTCACCGACCTGATACCCAAATACCACCCTACCCATAATCTTCGCTCCTCACAAGACCTCCTACTTTCTAGCTCCCTAGTCTCCACCTCCCACGCCCGACTGCAGGACTTCTCCAGGACTTCCCCCATCCTCTGGAACTCACTACCCCAATCCATCAGACTGTCACCTACCCTCCTCACCTTTTAGGCGCACCCTGAAAACCCATCTCTTCAGGGAAGCCTACCCCGCCCTCACCTAACAGCCGCTCTCCATTCCTCCCACCACTCCATCCCCCACAGCCTCTTTCTCCTGTACCACTATCCCCTCCCTCCTAGATTGTAAGCACGAAAGAGTAGGGCCCTCAAACCCCTCGTGTTTTGTTTTGTTACTGTATTGTCTCATGTTTTGTCCCCCACTATAATGTACAGCGCTGAGCAAACCTTTTGGCACTATATTAAATACTGTATAATAATATGTGTGTATTCAGAGACTGTGTGTATATGTGTATCTGTACAGTGGTACCTTGGTTTCCGAATGCCTCGGTTAAGGTAATTTTCAGTTTATGAATGAAAATCCATTGAAAATAATGCCTCGGTTTACTAATTTTTTTTCCCAATACGAAGTGTATGTTGGTGCCGATTTTTAAATGCAATTTCCAGCTTTTTTTTTTTTTCTTCACTATAGCTCACAGGATTAACTCCAGTGTTAAAGGAAACATTGTTTCTTTTAACTTGGGGAAATAAACTAAAAGTAAATTTTCTCTCTTTTAGCTGGGGGGAAAGTGACCACTGTAAAGCAATAATTACATTTAAACCTGGCAACATAATAAATTTAAAAAATGGCGTGGGATCCCCTCAAAAAAAAATGGCGTGAGGTCTGGTATGTATTTTGAGGGGATCTCCCACGTCAAAATTAAAAAAAAAAAAAAAAAAAGGCCTCTGAGCTGGCTTGACAGTTCTTAAATATGTAAGGGGCGCGGCCTCCCGTGGACATCACCCGAGTGACCCCACCCCATGTGACATCATTGGGAAACGGCGTTTCTGTTTACAAATTTTTCGCTACACACACACACTATTGGGACACCCCTCCAAATCATTGGATTCAAGTGTTCCAATCACCTCCATGGCCACAGGTCGCTCCCAGGAGGTCAGTGAATAAGTCCATCCATGAACTTTTCTTGCGACTAAATATTCCATGGTCAACTGTTAGTGGTATTCTAACAAAGTGGAAGCAACTGGGAACAACAGCAACTCAGCCATGAAGTGGTAGGCCACGTAAAATGACAGAGTGGGGTTAGCACATAGTGCGCAGAAGTCGCAAACTGTCTTCAGAGTCAATAGCTAAAGACCTCCAAACTTGGTGTGGCCTTCAGATTAGCACAACAACAGTGCATAGAGAGCTTCATGGAATGGATTTCCATAGCCAAGCAAATGCATCTAAGCCTTACATCACCAAGTACAATGCAAAGCGTCAGATGTAATGGTGTAAAGCACGCCGCCACTGGACTCTAGAGCAGTGGAGATGTGTTCTCTGGAGTGATGAATTGCGCTTCTCTGTCTGGCAATCCAATGGACATGTCTGGGCTTGGCAGTTACCAGGAGAATGGTACTTGTCTGACTACGTTGTGCCAAGTGTAAAGTTTGGTGGAGGGTAGATTATGGTGTAGGGTTGTTTTTCAGGGGTTGGGCTTGGCCCCTTAGTACCAGTGAAGGGAACTCTTAAGGCGTCAGCATACCAAGACATTTTGGACAATTTCATGCTCCCAACTTTGTGGGAATAGTTTGGGGATGGCCCCTTCCTGTTCCAACATGACTGCGCACCAGTGCACAAAGCAAGGTCCATAAAGACATGGATGAGTGAGTTTGGGGTAGAAGAACTTGACTGGCCTGCACAGAGTCCTGAACTCAACCTGATAGTCGTCCGACGTCAGTGCCTGGCCTCTCAAATGTGCTTCTGGAAGAATGGTCAAACATTCCCATAGACACACTTCTAAACCTTGTGGACAGCCTTCCCAGAAGAGTTGAAGCTGTTATAGTTGGAAAGGGCGGGGCCAACTCAATATTGAACCCTACAGACTAAGACTGGGATACCATTACATTTTCATGTGCATGTAAAGGCAGACATCCCAATACATTTGGCAATCGTGTATGTGTGTGTGTATGTGTATGTGTATGTATGTATGTATATATATTATATATATATATATATATATATATATATATATATATATATATACAACGTATATTGTTTGTTTTGTTTTTTTGCACTGACAAATGCTTTAATTCTGTCTTTTGCAGGCAGTTGCATCTGCAAAGTGTTCAACATGTACTCTGAGTGGCGGACACTGCACCTCGTTATCAAGAATGACCAGGGTCACACCAGTGTGTTGCACAGCTATCCTGAAAATGTGGGCCGCGAAGTCGCAAATGCTGTGGTCCGTCCTTTGGGACAGGCTCTCAATGCTCCTTCCATTGCTGCAAGTGAGAGCATTCTAAAAACTGATAAAGAGGTAAGCTTTCCCATTCATCAGCTCTGTCTAGTTAAAAATAGTGCAGGCCTTCTCTCCAGTGTTTGGAAATTGTTCTATTAATATATACAAAAACACCTTAACTACTGAGCCTCATCTTATCAACAGACCAGCAACTGACTAAGTTTTATTTTTAACAAGTAAATGTATGGAAGAAAATGATCAGCCAGAATGTCTGTAAGCCTTGCAAATTTTCAAAGTTCTAGTATTTATTTAAATAGTCACTTTATGGCCAGTTTAATTATTTAATTTATTTTTTTTTTTTTTACATTTTTCTGAAACACAACACAGCAGCTAAAAACAAGCACACATCTGAAGTCAAGCTTACCTTGAAATTATTGGAAACATTTCTGACTTAGGGCTACGGTGCGCTTTGGGGCAGTCGAAATTCTCATCTGGAGACAATTGAGCTATCTAAAGTATCAGAAGGGTACAACTATCAGCGTTATTTGAGTATTGCAGTTGTTGGCAGCCTTTGGATAACTCGTGTAAAGGCAATTTTATTTCTTCCCATACTCTGAGTGCTATTTATACTTCCTATGGGCTGCCGTGGGTGATTTTTGGTAGTGCTGTTGTGCAACTAAGTTTACCTGCAATTGTCCCATAACCAATTTGTAGCAATCGATCACTACACGTAGGGGACAAAAGACTGTAGCATGCAGAAACAATAATTGCTAATGATGGTGCAGTCCTTCAGTTTGTACGGTTGATTGTTTTGCGTATCAATCACTAGGGTATAATTGCAGCTGATCTTAGTAGCACAATCAACTACCAAATATTGCAGATGTGCGCCCAGCCTTAAAGTGATACTAAAACACACACTATTTAATTTACATTATGCCTTCTTTTTCTGTATATTATTATTTATTTCAGGTACTTATATAGCGCTGTCAATTTACGCAGCGCTTTACATATATATTGTACATTCACATCAGTCCCTAACCCTCAAGGGGTGTACAATCTAAGGTCCCTACTAGGGCCAATTTAGACAGGAGCCAATTCACCTACCAGGATGTCTTTGGAGTACCCGGAGGAAACCCATGCAGACACAGGGGAGAACATGCAAACTCCAGGCAGGTGGTGCCATGGTTGGGATTCGAACCAGCGACCCTAGTACTGCCAGGTGGAAGTGCTAACCATTTAGCCACTGTGCTGCCCATATGGATATGACACTGTAGTTATTTTAATTTAAAAATAAATCTAAGTACCTGTATTTCTAATTGATATACAGCTGTCACAGGACCCAGTTTTTCCCAGCCTGCCTGCAGGGAAACGGTGGCAGGAGTTTCTAGTTCAGCCTTTCTGTTTGACAGAAGTCAATGTAACAGTCAACTTCAGTCGAACAGATATTTGATCCGTCTATGGCCAGCTATAGGCTTTAGAATATGGTTGGATGTGCAGGCATGATTTGACTACTATTAGGATAGTAAATATACCCAATACTTGGAACATTTCACAAACCTGGACTGTAGGCTTTGCCAATCGGACAGGATAGAGTGAGGAGATGACCGGTAATGCAAGATGTTACCTATCTTGACTGGTTGATGTTCCCTTATGAGCTTTCAGCCAACATGAGCATATATTGCTGATCACATATACATAGATGGTAACAAATTACATTTTTGTGTGTTTTTTTCAAAACCTTGATGAACAAATATAATTACTTTCCATTCAAATAAAACACATTGCATGCCTATGCAACCTTATGAACGTTTAATAATAATTTTTTTACAGTTAGTAAAGTATTTCTTCAGGCTATATACTTTGGATTTTCCATAATCAGTGGTCAGGTAAATCCATTAATTAAGCTTAGATTATTTTACTTGAGACAACAGAGCCACTAGGGGTTTGTGAATAATACATTAATGTGCTAATTCTTACATTCCAGGTGAAATGGACCATGGAGGTCATTTGTTATGGACTGACATTACCACTGGAGGGAGACACAGTGAAATACTGTGTGGATGTATACACTGATTGGATGATGGCCCTGGTCGCTCCAAAGGATTCTATTCCCCAACCAGTTATCAGAGAGCCTAATATGTACATCCAGATCATCCTTAAACACCTTCAGAATGTCTTTGTGCCCAGGTAAGGCTATCAAAGTGAAGCTTAACAAGGTTGTCCCCTCTCACCCTCTTTGCTGCGGTATTCACAATAGCACACTCAGCAAATCCAGTGGTGTTTCGTTATGATCTACTGCTCTGCTGCTGCACACCAAGTCTCAAGCCACCATCTCCCTTTCTTATGTCATCAGGAGCTGCCTGTCTTTTTGTTGTGTTCTATTATGGAAGGGATTAGATTGGGATGGTGAAAAGTGAAAATCATTAGTGAAGACCCAACTTTGAGTTATTTAAAAAAGATAACAAGTGAATTCTATAATGTACAGCGCTGAGCAAACCTTATAGCGCTATATAAATACTGTATAGTAATTCCATCAGTGAACTGCTCTCCAGGAAACACTACAACTGTACTGAAGTCCACTTAATCCTAGGTCTCTTCCATCCATTGTCAGATTTCAGCGAACCTCATATAGTCAGTGAAACGGTCTGCTTTCTGAAAACAGAACTATACTCTGCTCCCTCACCAGCACCGACGTCTCTACCCGACAGTTCATTCCATGCCGAGAATGCACTATGAGCTGGGCAGTTGCAGCTCAGTTTACATTATAAAGATTATGAACAGACAGGTAAGTTTTGATTTATTGCTGAAGAGACATAGGGGAGGTTTACTAAAACTGGAGCATGCAAAATCTGATGTTGCTCTGAATAGAAACCAATCAGCTTCCAGGTTTTATTGTCAAAGCTTAATTGAACAAGCTGATTGTCTACCATGCACAGCTGCATCCAATTCTGAGTGCTCCAGTTTTAGTAAATCTCCCCTATAGCCTCTTCTGCAATAAAAATCCTGCTTGCAATTTTTTTTTACTTTAGTCCTGCTTTAAAGCGGAACTAAACCTGTCAACCTTTTTCCCAAAACCTTTACTCAGTTCTTGCTGTGAATGATAACTGTCATACAATCAAATTTCTGTTGTCTTAACTGATCGCATGTGAAACTCCATGGCTGTTGCAGATCAAACAGGCTATGATGGCAGCTTCTGTGGCTGTAAAGGATAGAAGAGTGTATTGTAATATGTAATTCTTACACTCTCTGCCCGACATATTACCAGTCAGATTCAACCTTTTACACACACACACACACACACACACACACACACACTCTTTTCATGTGACAACACTGAAGAAATGACACTTTGCTACAATGTGACATAGTGAGTGTACAGCTTGTATAACATGTAAAATTGCTGTCCCCTCAAAATAACTCAACACGCAGCCATTTTTTTTGTGTGACACCTTGGTAACGAGACACCTTTTTAGGCTTGGTTCACATATGTGGGGGTGGTGCCGCTGTGGATCCGCACAAAAATCCATGCAGCCGCACAGAGGAATGCGGACCCGCAGGCGGCTGCCATTAGTTCTAATGGCACACCGTCCACCGTACGGGCTGCATTTTCAGAAGAAGTGCAGGGACTTCTTCCCTGCATGTCATGGGGCACTGGAGTCCATTCAAACGAATGGGCTCTCGTGCCCGCTCAAAACGTGGCCTGCACGGCCGCATATATGTGAACCAGGGGTTATAGGTCATAAGTTAAGACTGAACCAGCTGATGTTAATTTGCACTGAAAAGGGCCAGATTGCTTTCTAATTACTGATATATTTTCAGCTGGTGTCTTTGCTTTTCATGTCTTTTGCACCTCCCTTTCTTCATGTGTTCAGTACTTTTTTCCCGTATCATTCCATTTTATTACACAATAACTTAATTTCTGAACTTATTTGTTTTGGTTTCTTTGTATGCATGGATTGTTACCGACATGTGCTGAAAATTTCATGTCCATAGCACCTTTAGAAATGTGTTACCGAGAATGATGGTGATGTGTTCAATACTTCTTTTACCTGCTGTGTGTGTGTATTCAAGTGTGGTACTGTGATAGGTTGCTATCTGTGCAATAAGTCCATCCGTGAAATTTCCTTGCTACTAAATATTCCACGGTCACCTGTTAGTAGTAGTCTAACAAAGTGCAAGCAACTGAGAACAACAGCGACTTAAAATGACAGAGCAGGGTCGGCGCATGCTGAAGTGCACAGTGTGCAGAAGTCGCCAACTGTCTGCAGAGTCCATCATTATTATTATACAGGATTTATATAGCGCCAACAGTTTGCTCAGCGCTTTACAATATAATGGGAGACAATACAGCAACAATACAGTTCAATACAAGAGGGAAAGGAGGGCCTGATCCTTGGAGCTTTTAATCTAGGAGGGAGGGGCTAGTGGTACAAAAAATAGTAACTGTGGGGGATGGACTGGTTGGAAGAGTAGAAGATTCCATTATTAGCTGAGGGCAGGATAGGCTTCCCTGAAGAGAGGTTTCCAGAGATTACCTATAAGTGAGCAGAGTAGGCGATAGTCTGATAAATTGGGGTAGAGAGTTCCAGAGAATGGGGGAAGCTTTGGAAAAATCCTGGAGAGAAGCATGGGAGGAGAAAACAAGGGAGCTAGAGAGCAGGAGGTCTTGCGAGGAGCAGAGAGTACGGTTTGGGTGATATTTAGAGATAAGATCGTTGATGTAATTTGGGGCAGAGTTATAAATGGCTTTATACGTTATTAATGTTTTGAATTTTATCCTTTGGGCAATGGGAAGCCAGTGGAGGGATTGGCAGAGAGGAGTGGCTGATACAGAACGGTTAGTAAGGTGGATGAGTCTGGCAGCAGTGTTTATGATAGACTGAAGAGGGGATAGCCTGCGATTAGGTAGGCCAATGAGGAGGGAGTTAACAATATTCAAGGTGAGATATAACCAGGGAGTGAATAAGTTGCTTAGTGGTTTCCGAGGTTAAGAACGGGCGTATCTTGGAGATGTTGCAGAGGTGACGTTACAAGATTTGGACAGTGATTTGATTTGGGGCTGAAAGGACAGATGGGAGTCTAGGATTACACCTAGCACCCTGGCATGAGGGGAGGGAATGATGATTGTGTTACTGATCTTGATGGAGAAGTCAGGGAAGGGGGCACGGGCTGGGGGGAATACTAAGAGCTCAGTTTTGGAAAGATTGAGTTTGAGGAAGTGGCGTGACATCCATGTCGATATATGTCGCTTAGTAGGTTAGTAATGCAAGAGGAGACTGAAGGGGTGAGGTGAGGGGTAGAAAGATAATTTGTGTGTCATCAGCATAGAGATGGTACTTAAAGCCATGGGAGTTTATCAAGTGACCAAGGGAGGAGGTGTAGATGGAGAAGAGAAGGGGTCCAAGGACAAAACCTTGAGGGACCCCTACAGAAAGAGGGAGTGAAGAGGAGGAGGCAGCGTTATAGGTAACACTGAAGGAGCACTGCGATAGGTAGGAGAACCAGGAGAGAGCGGAGTCTCTGAGACCAAGAGAGTGGAGTTTTTTTTGAGGAGTAGGGGATGGTCAACCGTATCAAAAGCCGCAGAGAGGTCAAGTAGTAAGAGCATGGAGTAGTGGCCATTGGTTTTAGCTGTTAGTAGATCATTGACAATAGCTAAAGACCTCAGATTAGCACATCAACAGTGCTTAGAGAACTTTGTGTAATGGGTTTCCATGGCCAAGCAGTTGCATCCAAGCCTTACATCAACAATTGCAGTGCAAATCATCGGATGCAGTGGTGTAAAGCATGCCACCGCTGGACTCTAGAGCAGTGGAGACATGTTCTCTGGAGTGACGAATTGCATTTCTCTCTCTGGCAATCCGATGGACGTGTCTGGGTTTGACAGTTGCCAGGAGAATGGTACTTGCCTGACTGCATTGTGCCAAGTGTAAAGTTTGGTGGAGGGGGGATTATGGTGTGGGGTTGTTTTTCAGGGGTTGGGCTTTGCTCCTTAGTTCCAGTGAAGGGAACTCTTAAGGCGTCAGTATACCAAGACATTTTGGACAATTTTTCATGCTCCCAATTTTGAGGTTACAGTTTGGGGATGGCCCCTTCCTGTTCCAACATGACTGCTCACCACTGCACAAAGCGCAAGGTCCGTAAAGACATGGATGAGCGAGTTTGGGGTGGAGGAAGTTGAATGGCCAGCACAGATTCATGACCTCAATGCGATAGAACACCTTTGGGATAAATTAGAGCAGAGACTGCGAGCCAGGCCTTCTTGCCAACATCAGTGCCTGACCTCACAAATGTGCATCTGGAAGAAAAGTCAAAATTTCCCATAGACACCCTCCTAAACCTTGTGCACAGCCTTCCCAGAAGAGTTGAAGCTGTTAAAAGGTGGGCCAACTCAATATTTAACCCTACAGACTAAGACTGGGATGCCATTAAACTTCATGTGCGTGTACAGGCAGACATCTCAATACTTTTGGCAAGTGTGTGTGTGTGTGTATTTTAATCAGAGTATAAGTCAATTAAACTCCTGGGATATTGATCTGGTCAGTTAAGTAGCAGAGGGGGTTGTTAATCAGTTTCAGTTGCTTTGATGTTAATGAAATTTAACAGGTGCACTAGATGGGCAACAATGAGATGACTCCCCCCCCCCCCCCCCCCCCCCCCCCCCCAGAGTAGGAATGGTTTTACAGGTGGAGGACACAGTTGTTTTCCTATTCATCTTTCCTGACTGTTTTCCACTAGTTTTGCATTTGGCTAGGATCAGTGTCACTACTGGTAGCATGAGGCCATACCTGGACCCTACAGAGGTTGCACAGGCAGTCCAACTCCTCCAGGATGGCACATCAATACATGCCATTGCCAGAAGGTTTGCTGTCTCTCCCAGCACAGTCTCAAGAGCATGGAGGAGATTCCAGGAGACAGGCAGATACTCTAGGAGAGCTGGACAGGGCTGTAGAAGGTCCTTAACCCATCAGCAGGACCGGAGGAACAGGATGAGCACTGCCAGATCCCTACAAAATGACCTCCAGCAAACCACTGGTGTGAATGTCTCTGACCAAACAATCGGAAACAGACTTCATGAGGGTGGCCTGAGGACATTGGGCCCTCTAATGGGCCCTGAGCTTACTGGCCGGCACCATAGAGCTCGAATGGCATTTGCCATTGAACACCAGAATCGGCAGGTCCGCCAC